TTGAAAATTTTATATGTAATCAAGTGTATTTTTGCCCCTTTAAATGTTGTCCGTATTAGGATTAGGTTGGATTTTCTGTTACTTTCGCTTAAGTAACCACAATTTGCTTAAGCTTATCTATTCTGACTTCATTTCTTTTGAGCGTGGCCCAAGCACGTATATATTTCGTTTAAGCTACAACATTTTGCTTAAGCTATGCATTTTCTAATAAATTTGCTTAAGTGGATAAAACTGGCTTAAGCTAAAAAAGATTTGCTGGATTTATAAAACTCTGGCTCAAGCCCTACCAAAATTCACTTGAGCTATTTAAAATTCGCTCAAGCTAATTACACTGCCTGAAACATGTGCTCTCTGTTTTATATTCGCTTGATAATAATTAAATTCACTGGTCTTGGCTTAAGTGAGGCAAAAATAGCTTAAGCTATAAATGATTAGTTTGCAAAATAGGTGACTGAAAAACATGCATCTCCAGTCCATTTTTGCTTCAAATTTTTCTTTTTCGCTTGAGAGAACTTAAGCGATTTTAAATTAGCTTAAGCCAAATTTAATTGCTTAAGCAAATTTCGCTTTTAAGTCTCTTTTGGCTCACTTAGACACGTTTCTAAGTATTCAAACTCTTTCATCGGTCGCTTAAATAAGAAAAATTTAATTAAACGAGCAGAAAACTACAACCTGTAATTCCTACCAAAATTATAAGTGATCCAAATCCGTAAAAAACACTTGTTAATAAACTTGATTCCTGCTGGTAGGAAAGTATAGATTCTAATTTACAAATTAAACTGTGCCAAGTTGTTTTTTTTCCTCTTTTCATTTTGGGTGACAAACTAGAATATCTAAACCACAATCTTTTGGAGCCTCTCAAATTTTAGGAATTGGGATTCGTTATTTTTGTTTATAACTTTTAAATTTTTTAAACGGATTGATCAAAGATGATTTTTTTATCTTGAAAAAAAAAATGCATTCAAGAGCATGAAAATTGTATTGACGGCAAGTGCAATATTCAATAAACAAGCAATTAATAACTTGTGTCTTGGATCTCTAAATGTTTAATGCCCATGAAAATTATAATCTGAAAATATAGCTTCTTGTTGCCTGTAATCGAGGGGATGCTTTTGAGTAGTTTTTAATAGATCTTAGTCGTATACTTTAATTTTAGGTCGCTTTCCTATTTATTTTGTCCGAGTTTACTTTATGACATCATTCTTCAACAATCAACATCATTAACTTGCGTGGAGTATCTCCATTTCTTTTATTTTTTTTGTGGTGAGGAGTTGTCATAAAACTATAGGGCCATAAAGGTTCTTCCATTTCAATAGTATCTAGCAGTTGAGTTGACACTTGGATCTTATAGTCCAACCATCGTTCATTTACATAAGGATCGCAACCATATGGGTAGATGATGAACTAGGTAAAGCCAATTGAATAAATGGGGCCTATATACTAAAGACCCCTGCTGATATATACCTGATAAGGGAAGGTGCCATTAATCTGACCACAAAATTGTAGTTTTAACTTTAAAGTATTTTAATTCAATATTAAAAGCATCCTAATTATTCTTCATTGGAGTAACATGTGTAGGCCACGTGTGGGACTGCTGGACTAATGGACGAAATTATTTTCATCCAACTTCCTTAATCTTATTCTTCTGTTTCATCATGGTTCAATTCATAATTCAGCCAAAGGCCATCATTCATCACAAAGCTCGGTTCTAAGCAATACGAAGTTAAGGTGGGTAGGAGTTTCACAAAACATACCCCAAGCAGCATTAAAATAATAAGGTTGGATCAGAAAAGCATAATAAAATTTGGGTCTATCTATCCACGTAGCATTATCAAATACACTGTTCATATACGTGTAAGATCAATAGCATAATCTAATTTGTATGCAACTAATCCAACAGAAATAAATTTAATTCTACCTTAGTGCTAAAATTCCGAATGGTGGTGTCTCGAAAACAATTGTTTAGCAGGATAAACTTGTTTTCATTTACGAATAGTCCATTAACTGAGAGAAAGATGCACGCAACTTATGAGTCTTGTACTAAGATTCACAAAATACATTTAATTAACGAGAGGGATCAATCCTTACGTGATAGTACGTTATATGTCATGTCATTTAAATTTTTTTTATTAATTAAAATAAATATTTATAAAAATATCCATATACATATTTTATATATTTAAAAAAATCCGTCTTCTTCTCCAAACTTCTCTACCTCAATACCGGCAACTCCACTTTCAATCCATATACATTCATATGAATTATTAGATGACAATCAATGGGAATGCTACCATACAATAATAATCATACGTAGCAGCTAGCTGCAATTATTGGCATATCAGTCATAATGACCGTAACTTTCAGCACTCTTTTTAATCTAACTAAACCTTAAAAGTTTCAGAGTTATACTCCATTAATATAAGTCTGGAAGTTAACTCATTTTGATCCAAAATGCGCCAAGTTGTAAAAGGTAGAAGTTATATATACAGCGGAATATGACCCTAGAACAAAACAAGATGCAATTAGCACTATTCGGGGCTACTTGGGGGTGCCTCTTCTGTTGGCGTTATCAATGACACCTATTCTGTTGCATAAACATTTAGATATCAAACGACCTGTGTGGAACACTCCACTTTTGAATGGTAAATATGGGGATAACGAATAAAACAAAGAAACCAATCGGTTGGGCCAATTTCCGATGAACTTGGGTAATTGTTCAAACACATTTGTAAAAAAAAAAAACTGTGTCCAGAAAGTTAAAAACTACTATTGTCTTCACTTGCCATGGAGGTTGAGAGGATGGGGTGAGGAAGGTGAAGATTTGGAGTCGAGGTGGGAGAGGGATTGGAGAAAGGTACAGGAGTGAAGGTTGAGGTGGATTAAAAATGGAGTCGCCATATGAAGAGAGAAGTTTGGAGAGGAAGAAGAAACCTTTATTGTAAATATATAAAATATGTTTATGGATCTTTTTATAAATATTTATTTTAATCAATAAAAAAAATATTTAAATGACATGGCATATAATATGGTGCTGCATAGACAGAGAAGGGTTAATAGTAATGATCAATTCTTAAATTACTAACTTTAAAATGACTACTTTTTAATAAAAATATTTATAAGAACTAATTACAAAAAATATATATTTATAACGATACAAAATATAATTAAACTTAAAATTAATTCCTTAATACAGCTATCTTTATTAATATTGCAATAGTCAAAAAAGCTCAGTTATAATGGAATGGGCATACCCCAAGTGGAGGAAACAAAGTTGGGGTCTTATTTTATGGGCTCAACAATAGGGTTAATGAAAATTTTGGATCCTTGTCCAATAAACTCATTTCACCTTTAGCAAGGTATTACATAAATGATCTTACTTTCAGACCACAAAAATTATTATTTAACTTGGGCATAAAAAGAAGGGAGAGGGGGGAAGAGAGGTTGTGTATGAGACATGAATTATGTCATTTTAATATTTAAAACTTAATATTATATAACACTTATTTAGTGAATGAAAAAATAAAAGTATATAATTAACTCTTTCAAGACAAGGAAATATGGAAAGTTATAACAAAGTATTTATCACTGATTTATAGTGATTGAGTTTATTATACATTTTTATTTTATATACATCTTCACTTTAATTAACAGAAAATAAGTAACATTACTTTTAGATCATTTTAGTTTTTTTTTTTACTTTAGGTGAGTCAAATTTAAGATTATTTATTTCCATCTTATTCTCAATCAATGTTGATATACTTTTTTATATTTATAACTAAACATTTGATATGTAAAATTTATAAGATTCAATATAAGTTATCCAATATTAAAATTATATAAGCTCTAATATTAAATTTAAATATATTACCCAACTCACTTCAAAGATCAGTTTAAAAAAATTGGCCAAATTTTAGTAAAAGAATATATATTTTATTAATCAATTAATAACATCTTAATAATAAAATTGGCTAGTTTTTAGTTTGATCAGATAAGTATCATATATCAAACAAAAATTTACAAAAAAGTAGGGACTAAAATTTTTTTTTAAAATAAATTAAAATAAAAATTCGCTAAAATGTGAAAATTAAAAATATTTAAGCCGAAAAATTATAATAAGCTTCTAAAGTTATTCCAGGTGTCTTATTTCATGTTACCTCCATTGCGTCCAGTGTCCTAAGCATCTTACAACCATTTGTTTTCTTATCAGAAATAATAATTATTGTTTTTCATTCCTTGACAATTCCATTGAACAAGCAGTCAATAATACAAGAAATCGAAAGTACATCTCCTTCAGTTTCCCTTTAACTAGCTTTAACTAAATTTATAACATTCTTATCATTTTGAAAATATGTGTTTTCCAACAGGAGTACAGCAACAATAATTAGAACAAAAGTAATAACGTGAACAACACATGAACAACACAATCACTGGATATATAGTCAGTGATGTTTTTGGATCTAAAGCACTGTCATGTCAATGTTTCAAAGTTTTTTTTTAATGAAAATTTGGAAGTTATTTTTGGTTCAAGTACATAACCATAAAAAAGATTTTAAAATATCTTAAAGATAACTTTTTAAAAAAATGTTTATTACATAATCATTTTTTAAAATAAATTTAACATTTAATTATTAATTATTAATTAAAATTATTTTAAAATATATATTTAATATTTCATAACCAAATTTTTAGCATGACCCTAACATAAAATGTGATTCAAAATTATTTAAGATGTTTCGTTGGCAGCTGAACTGATTACGCGGAATATGGGATAATTAATATATATCCAAGTAAACTGATGTAAACAACATTCCGAGCACTAATATCATATGGTATCATAATAATAACCAAAATTCCACATAATCTAATAGCTGTGAATGTAACTTAATAAAAGCGTAAATGGATGAAATTATCGAATGAAGAAAATCAAAAGATTGGTATAGAACAAAATACTGAACCAAGGCATTAATCCTTTGAAAGCCACATGCCTACAATTCTGACGTTTACTTCTCTCCATGTTTCCTTTCTTCTTGCCTCTTCCAATTCACCAGAAGCTGGAGAAATTTCATGACCTGCATGTTTAATAATAATCATTATATTACTTCCCTCTATATATATGCAATACCACGCAAAGTTTGTAGTAAAAAATGCATATTTATATGCATATCAGCAAGCGTTGACTCTGTTGAAAGTTGCACCTCAGTCGGGTCTCGGAGAGAGTAGAAAGCGTTGCTTTCTTTCTTCGTTGATGAAACCAAAATCCCACAACCTCGATTGCCCTCGTGCAGAACCTAAATATACAATTCATGCAACCGTCAAATTCTTGTCAACAATTGATAATCTGTTCCCAATATAAGAAAAAACTAGCTATGTTCTACGCTTTCATTCAGTACCTTGAAAGCATCTTCATCGGTTTTATCATCTCCAATGTAGATGGGAAGCACATCATCCCAATCATTTAACCCTGCACGAAAAAAATCCATTTTTTACTTTCAATAATACCATCAACAGCATTTGACACACGTGCTATAGTTTATAATAAGAAAAAGAAAAAAGAAAAAATTCTCACCTAGAGATTCAAGTAAAAATTCAACCGCTTTTCCTTTGTTCCAGTCAATCACAGGACGGACCTCTAAAACCTATGTATCACAAATTGATTAGTTCAAATACATTGCAAGCAATTTTCTGATAATAATTAATCATAAATTGATAACGTTTATAAATTAGGCTTAAAAATGTATAAAGAAAACAATGTTTGAAATAACAGCACCCGCATCCCCCCTAGGAATACAGTAATATACCTTCCGTCCGTGGGTGGAACGTAAACGAGGGTAATTTTTCAACACATCATGGACACGTTGTCCAATTGTGGACCAATTCTGCATTGATCAGGATAACTGTCAAAAATTATATAAATATATGTGTATTTATTGGAACTGCTGATATAAGTACTTGTTCTATAGGGGGCAAAAAAAGCTATACACTAGCAAGTTATAGCTTTTCATTTGTCAGTATATTCATAATGGAATAACTTGTTATATTCTTAAAAATAAATAGTAGTGTATTAATAGCCTGGTGTACATATAAAAATTAATTAGCGTCGTGCAGGAAATAACCCTTACATTCTCTTCGACGTTACGGTAATGTACAGAAACGCAAAACTTGTGATTTTCAACTTTTGCACCCTTTATATCTTCAGTAATCTCGACGAGGGTTCTAAAAACCTGCATGAAAACAACCGTAAATTAATCTACTTTCCAGGTTATAAAAAGTAAAATATCTCTTACCAGGTATTAGAGAAAGAATTTGGCACCTCGTCAATCATGGGCAGGAATTCTCTAGCAGGTTGAAAGAGAGTTATCTCCTTTCCCTGCCACATTCAAATTAGTACAAAAGGCAGTAACATAAGAATTAAGAAATATGATAAATGTTCATAGTTGCTTCATCAGTAATTCCAACCTGATGGTCAGTAGATTTGACACAATTTGGAAGGTTATTGGAGGGAGTTTGACGAAAGGGGCCAATAATGTCCATTCCATGACTACCAGCATAGTAGAGTTCCGTTAGTTTAACTAGATCAAAAACCTGTAAGTGCAGTACGTTACACTTCAATGACATCGGTAATCGATAATTAAATCTGATATAAAAAAATTCAATACTTCATTGAATCTTGCCAAAGTAAGGATCGATTATCCTGCACACCTTGTCACGGCTTCTTCCACTGATAATTGCCGTGGGAAAATACCTTGCCATGCTTCTCACAGTGGCACGCATCTGAACAAGTATGGTTTAGACCTTAGAGGAAGGAAGAAGAGGGGGAATGCAATATCACAAGACAAGAAATTATATAAAAATGCATTGCTTACAGCTTCAGACATAAGGGCACAGTCTGGGTCATCTACTATTGGCGAAAGAGTGCCATCATAATCTAGAAACATTGCAATCTTCTTATTCTTTGCACGGTCAATAATATTCTCGAAAGAGTCTAGTGCTGAAGGATAATCAAGCTGGTAAAAGGAAATAAAAATAAATAAATAACAATATAGAAAAGCTTAGGCTGAAATTGCTCGATGTAGTGAATTTAAACATTGAAAGGAGTGAAGAAATTAAGAGATGAGCAGCGAGCATATATACCATGAATGAGAGAAAGTCATCAATGTCTTTGTCAATTGAAGCAACCTGAGCAATGGAACCTTTAAGTAACTTCTTCCTTGGAGGTGAAGAAGCCTTCATTGCATCCAACCAATCATTGGACCGAACATCATCAAGATTCGCTGCACTTTTTCTTGACCCAGTTCTTGAATACTTGCCTGAGGAATGTGGTGAATCTGGCTGGGAATAAGTTAGAAGACTAGAATGGATTCCTAGTCTTGACTTGTTTACAGGTACAGGATCAGTAAGAACAGGAGAAACATGAGAGTCCATTGGACCTAGCTATGTTTGTATCAAGAATGGAATTGAAAGAACTATCTGTGTGGCTTTGTAAGAAACAAGCTGATTTCTATGCAGCCTTTCCAAGATTTTTGTTTAGCCAACTCTTTTGTCTATGAAAAGCCACAGCTTTAATGTTTTCTTGTCACTGCTACTTTGTGAGCAGTCCATCAAGCACGAGTTTCCCTGAAACTTTAATTGGAAGACACCAAAAGCATATGAAATAAAATCAAATCAGTTTTTGACAAAATGTTCAAGAATATGAAAATACCTTTTCATATAGTATTGCATTTGTAACCGTGGTCGTTATTAATAATGGACCAGTCTATTTAGAAGAGAATGGTGAGTACAGCTCCTGCATGCAAACAAGGAAATCAACAACTAATTACTGTCAAGAGATGATAAAATGAGGATAAAAATTTACATCCATGCATAAGGTAATTGTATAAATGTTTTTATGAAATTATGGTCTACCAGTATAGATGAAATTAATATCACAATGTTCAATAACTTATACGGGAATGTACGGTGAAAATTAGGAGTTGTTGAAGGAGAAACGGAAGATACAGAGACAAGGAATAAAACACATTGAACCAAAAGTATATATATATTTATATAAAGACTAAGGACCTAAAAATAATTAAAACATGATGCGTGTCAACTTGCACTCGTCAGAAGGCAGACTGTTAGAGAGTGATTCAGGGACTCCAATGAAATTCTAGTTCTATTGAGACAATCCAGTCTGGTAGTTACAAGTTGCAAGAGTTTCTGATAGTATTGTTATAAATATTGGGTCAAAATTCAGGTGCCACATGTCAAGCCAATAGAATAAACAAAATGAACAAGTTGATGTCTGTGAACTCAGATAGAACCTGGGAGGCTGGGACTCGCAATTAAAGGAAAAAAAAAAGAAAGACTCAGATTGAACCTGGAACTTGCAGTTAGAGGTTTAAAAAAAATGCAAGTAGGGTCAAACCATATTCTACTCACTACATAAGCTTTAAAGTATAAAATTAAAAACTGGAAAGAATCTTATATCAAAACCGGGGCACCAGTCAACTCAATTGTTCTGTTCTTTTGCTAACCTGCTTTTTTTCCCCTTTCAATCAGGAATATTTTTTAAATCATAAAAATATATCCTTTTAAAGTAATTATGTACTTTCTTCTTCAGAATTTCTCACTTGTAGGTACGGAGAAATTCATTTCCCTGATATAGTCACCTGGTTAGAGGCTAAAGTTGACTCCTCTCCACAATATTTATTCACACACATTAATCTTACAATCAACCCCAAATAAAAAATCCGAATCTCTTTCATTCGAATTAGTACGTGTTAAATAAATAATTATGTACCTTCTAAATAACTTAAGAGAATTGAATGTAAAGAATAATTTTTGTTGGTCACAAAAAGACACTTAATATGTTCTGCATGTGTTTCATACGAAAGAATAATTTATAATATGTTGGACAATTTAAATTTTAAGAAATAATCACCTAATTTTGAAATTTTATTTCATGAAACTGATAAAAATAAGTATTATTCTTAAAATACATTAAATCAAACACCATCTTGATTCAGCAAAAACAAAAAACAAAAAACAAAACGCGCTTAATAATAACTTTTTTCAGACCCTACTTTTTTATATTCATTTTATGACTTCATTTTTTTTAATTATATTTATCAGTTCTTCTCTTTCTCTTTCTCTTTCTCTTTCTCTTTCCTATCTATCTCTTTTGCAAGTGTATACTTCACGGGTGGAAAAAGTGTATTTTAAAAATCTAATGATGCTCACGAATATGGGCTATAGATCATTTTGCTCTGTTTCGGCAGAGCTGTTTCAGATAACGCTGTTGATAAAATACATTATAATGTACCTTTGTCTTGTCAGTTATTCGAGCTTATCCACAATTTACAGAATTTATTTTATGCACTATGATTGCCTAACAGCAAATGAATTTAGGAAGAAATATGTTGTCATTACAATAATGTGCATCATACATCCCACCTTTAGGTGTGTCTATGAAAATGCAAGAAATGAAATAAATAATACAATATGATAGGAAGAAAGTGAAAGAAAGGAAAATATATTATATAAGGCTATGAATATAATTATTGTTACCATTATTAGGAAAAGGCTCTTGCATACCGTACATATTTTATATTTTAGTGAGAGATAAAAAAAACAATTAAGAAAAATATGTCAAATACTAATAAAAACAGGGTTATAAAGAAAACAACAATTTGTTGCATTACAGCAGTCATTTGTATACGTGCAGCTATGTCTGCATTTTCTTTTTTATGATCACTAAACTATGTCTTGTATTTGAATATGAAATCAGGTTATGGGCCTACCTGAAATTGTAATCAAATAGGGAAAAAAACAAAACAAAAGGGAGCTGCAGCCTGTCACTTGTGGATCCAACTAAGACCTTCACATTTCGATATGTATAAACTATAAATTAATACTTATTATATCAATAAACTTCATTGACTATACCCTACAACTACCAAAATGAGCATAGCAAAAAGTATAATAAATCCCTCATCATAGAAAACAAAAGAAAATTGTGGGCAGAGAAAACATATATATAGAAAAGTTATTTTAGGTCGCCATCGAATTTGCTTTTTAGAAGATGCTGCATAGTTGCCAGCCATTCTCTTCAAGGTTAGGGTCAATTTTGAATAGTTTTGTGGACGATGAGAAATAACCTGAGGAAAACTTTAACCTCAATCAGGCAAGAAGGCCCCATTTACTTTCAACGATTTTGTGCCTTTTTTCCAACTTGGGTTTACGTAGACATAGCCATGTTTCCGAAAACTCAACATCGTTAAAAACAACATCCCATGAAAATATTAAAAAAAGTCTAGTTGTTCCGTCAAGATTTTGCCATCAAGTTAATTTTTAAAAGTTTACTTTTTCATTTAATTATTCTTTTAAAAATTTTAAATGTCATCATATTAATCTCCAAAAAAAGGGGAAATAATAATAATAAAGTTTAACTCTATTATAAATTAATCTATAAACACTATGCAGTTCTTCTAAAACGGTAGTCGATTCTCGCGCAAGGATCACAAAATAAACAAACACCTTATTTTAACGTGTGATCAAAAAAATGTGGTTAATATATTTAGTGAATTAAATATGAAATATAACTCTGTATGGTCAACGTTGTAATGTATCGTCCAAAACCAAATTAATAATATTATTATTATTACTATTAATAACAACAATGGCAGCAAACCAAAACAAAACGATTGGGGGAAAAGCAATTACTCCTGCTGGATCCAGGAAAAGGATGCATTTTTTCGTGCTCATTAGCCAATAAAGACTCATTTTCTTTTTGTTCATTGCAAAACTGCCACTTTGCAAATGTCGGGCAAAAGAGAGGAGATTCAGATAGAAAAAGAATGAAAAACAACGGATTGCACTGAGAAGGAACACATAAAAATGGCTACACAAAATTTATTTAAAACATAACATTTATACACATTATGAGATTTGTGCGTGATTATTACTTCCACCACCCTACACTGTGACGCATAAAAATTGGATTCCTTTGGGGGAATCGAGATAAGCAGAGAAGTTATAATAAGAACACACCTGTGTCTGTCTCCATCGATAATCGTAGGAATGGACCTTTCTTTTAGCGCGCAGAAACAACGTTAACGACCTTGGAAAATTTCAGGCTAATCAAAGAAAGGGACGAGAAGGGGAAATTCTGTATACGCTTGTATTCACGTTGTTTTAAGTGGGAAAATAAGGAAAAATGAAAAATAGCCTTCAAAAAATAGGAAAAGAAGAACGACTGATTAGGGGCCTTAGGTATTTATATGTTCGAGGTAAAATGAGACGTGCCTATCAAGGTAGTTGTTTTATCAATCCTGAATTTTTCACACCTAAATAATTAGTATTTTTTGCAAGAAATAATTATACTTAAATCCAAAAAAACCACAAGTTGGTAAACACAGTTCATTTGGTAAGATTCTTTTATTCACAAAATTTAAATTTAAATTCTATTTTAAAAAACAAACTCGTGTCACTTTAATTATATATCTGTATTGATCTTCCTGTCAAATCCTATGAAATAATTACTTTTTTTTTGTTTAACGGACCTATAATCTTTGTATGGTTCTTTTTGTAACAATTCATTCTATTTCATTAATTAAGAAATATCTTTTTGAAAAAAATAATCAGATTGTGAATATGAAATATTCATCATTAGCCTTCTTTAATATTTTGTTTAATATTTTTTTACAAAATATTATAAAAGAATATATAATTTTCTCCTCATTTTTACATGTGAACAAACATTTATGCGTGTATGTTAGTAGTACTTCAATTCATGGTTTTGGTAAAGTGTATCTATACACAGTCACAAGTTAATAAATGACTATTATATGAAAATGTAAACGGTTAATAATTAAAAAAAAAACTCCATATTTTTTATTTCTTGACATTTTTTGTGACTTTAAAAAATATTTGATTCGTTAAAATATTTATATACTTTGATTTGTTATTTTTTTTATTTTACGTGTAATTTTAATTGAAACCCTATAATATAACAAAATAAAACAATATCATTTTATTTATTGATAGCGTCTAGATATATTAACAACCCACAAGGAATTAGTTTAAATAATAAATAGATTTGAAATTAAGAATAAAAAAAAAAGGTTTTAGGACATGAGAAAAATATATTAAGGAAAAACAGCTTTAAAACAATGTGATTATACCATATATTTAAAAAGCAATGACACGGTAACAACAATTTGGAAAAGTGATGACATGTGTGAACTTGGATGATGATGTGGTAATGTGTCATATTGGGGCCACAATGCAAGGACGAGCAGATATTGGGCTTAAGTCGCTTTCATGCACAGCTGGCAATCGTCGGTGACAAAATATTTCTGGGCTCGAAATTTTTTTTTCTTTTCAAAATTCTTTATGGCTTTTGTTTTTTAATCTCTTCGTTTATTTTTTGTAATTTAATGTAA